ATAGTGGGATCCCCATTATGAGGACCCCAAAATAACGCACCCCCTATTTTCGGAAACCCCCAACTGTGATCTGACCTTCTCCGTCCAAGATCTAAAACTTCCCTCCTACTTGGAGGTTCACGGGTAGTTATAAGTGGGGTTATAAGTCCCCTAATATGGGTTATAATTATAGTTACCTACTTATAACCCTACTTATAACTGTGGATGAACCTCCAAGTAAGTGATGTTGCTCTTGAAGGGGGGGGCAGTACCCTCCTTGCCTAAGGCCTGCTGTCTTAGAGTCATGACAGTTCAGGAGCATGCTCCAGCGGCGCATGAGGCAAAGGAGAAGTGCTCTGCTTCGATTGCAAGGGTCTCGAGTTCCCCCTCCATGCGAGCCCAATTCGCATTCTGGAGGTTGGTCTTTGAGCTGGCGACCTGCAGAATCCAGGCAGTTATCCCTCGCGTGCGTGCTGTGCTTCACTGCCACCTCATCTGTGTTACTAAGCAAAGCCTAAATGGTAGGATCTCCCCGTCAACAAGGCACCCCGAAGTTTTTCAGATCTTCTGGCCTGTCTGAAGGTTCCAGGCTCCGAGGTTGTTCCCATTGCCTTGGCGGATGCCTTGGATGGCTGCTGCACGGAGGAGCTGCAGAGTATCATGAATGTAGGAACAGGGAAGATGTGCTTCACACTACATGACAGGATTATCATCAGCGGGTCGAGCCAAGTGTCATCGGTGGCCAGAAGATGGCCCGGCAGTCGTCTCAAGTGCGCATGGAGCTTTTGGTGCCCTATAAATGATGAGACCATGCTGAGACCTTCCAAGGCTCATACTCCATCGATTGGGATGGCCATGTGAAACGCCAGGTTATCGATACGAGAAGGTGAGCTGACGATATCGAAAAATGAAAGTTCGCAGGTTGCTGGAGGAACTGAGATCGTTCATGGCAGCTGTGCCGAGCACTTTTATACGCTTGTTCTGGCTCGAAGACCCGTCTCCTCAATGAAGTTGTTCGGGCACTGAGGCAGACGGGTGCAGGAGCTCTGGGGCACTTTCGGCACCTTGTGAAGCGTCCGATTCAGGCGGCGCCCGCCCAGTCCAACGATGCTCCGACCTTGCGCATCCATCGCTTTCCTTGCCCTGATTGGGAAGGCCGGTGATGGCCCAAAAGATTCTAGTCCAGCCAGAGAAAACCCTAAAACTCTAAACTCTTGAAGCCCTAAGCCCAATACCCTGAACCCTACACCCTAAACTCCTAAAGCTAAAGTTAAAGCCCTGAACCCACTGCCCTGAACTTGCTTTTATGCCGAAGAACCCTCTTCTGCTTCGAGGCCAGTGGAGCATTCGAGCTGGGAGCTCGACCTTTTGGCTTACCAGACTATGCGATGCTACAGTATGCCAACATACCGGACGATAATATACTATAATATGCCAATGCTGTACTCTACACTGCTCTAAACTCTACTCTACTCTACTCTACTCTACTCTACTCTACTGTATCTATACTCTACTGTACTATTGTCTACTGTACCATAACATAGTATAGTATAGTATGCTATACTGTACTATACTGTACTATGTTGTACTACACTCTGCCACGGGTAGCTTGGATCCTGCGTGCACCCGTCGCGGAGGCCAGGATACCTGGCAACCGCCACGAACTACACACGCGCAGCCGGGGCCTTGCCATATCGCTGGTTTAGGGTTTAGAGTTTACAAGCATTTCTGCGATTTTGATGGTTCGTGTACGCAAACCCAAAGCACTAAACCCTAAACAATAAGCCCCACCTACTTGGTAAACCCTGAATCCTAAACCCTTAACCCTAAACCCTGAATCCTAAACCCCAAACCCTGAAAGTTGGGGCGCATTTGTCGTGAAAGCACCTTGCCTCGGCAGTGTGGGCCGCGAGGCGCCGGCAAATCGGATGGAAAGTAGGGTTCATAGGATTTGGGGTTTATAGGGCTTCGGATTCGTGGGATTTAGGGTTTCTCAGGTTTGGGGTTTGTGGGATTAAATGCTGATCGGGTTTAGGGTTGATGTGGTTTAGGATTTCTAGGGTTTAGGTCCATTGGGGCTTAAGGCTTAGAGGTTTTAGGCGATGTCTTCAATGCACATGTCTCGTGCTCAAGCCCTCTCAGGCGATCTTGTGGAGTAGAAGCTAAACCCTAGAACCTAAATCTTAAACTCAATATGGGTTCAGAGTGACACAACTAGTCCGTTGAGCTGGGGAGGTAACATGAATCCACGAAGGCCGAGAACCCCTCAAAGGCATCTCAAGCTACGACACTCCGCCATTCAAAACAGTCTGTCATGCAGCAAAGCTCTCCACTATGTTGTGGTCGTTTGCTTTCCCGCTCTTGAAGATATTGACCCAGGCGCTCGATGGTTATTTGCAGGGACGTCGGAAGCTGATTTGGATCCACGTCACCCGACACCTCTGAGACACCTCAAAAACTGAACACTATCTCAGGTTTCGGCCAGCCAGCCGGCGAGCTACCTGCCAAAGGTGTGGTCCAAAAGAGTCTTTACAAGCGACGACGCCGTGCAATGTCTGAAGCATCGGCAGGAGACCCTGCGCTGGACCCGTGCCCGATTTTGAACAGTTGGCCCCAGTCTCTGAGAGACTTTGTTCCTTGAGAAGCTGAGTCACTAACACGTACAGGCCGGACAAGGTCGAAATCGATGCGCCGAACCCGTGCAATCCGTTGGCTAGCGCTGGTGGCTGGTCCGAGCCCCGAGCACCCAAAGGCGGCGCGTTTTCCAGCATTTGGCTTTTTTTGCTCCTTTTTTAGGACGTCAGAGGCTCCCGGCTCTGGAGCCTGGTGCTCAGATTCTCCGGGTTCCACTCAGCTTGGAGATGAGCGGATTTCCTGAGATGCCCTTGGTGATGACCTGGTCGCAGCAATGCAGCAAAGTCGGGGCCAGCTCGGCCCCGAGTTTTGTTCCTTTCCGGACACCGGAGCCCGGAAGCCTCGAAGAACTGAGAGCAGAAGCCTCGCATCTGTAAACCTGCTTTTCAGGTCTCGTTCCCGAGACGACCTACAGCCTTCCATCGGGAGGCTTCTTCGGAACCAGTCGGCTGGCCTCGGGCCCAGGTTACAATCAGTGTGTTTAGGGCTTTGGGGAATGGCAGAGCGAGTTTTGCCGAGGTGCCTTCCTTGATGGGCAACACCTTCCAGCTGAACGACTGTGTGGGCTACACGCCGCATACTCAAGTCGGAACGCGCAGGACGACTGCAGGCTAGCAGACTCTCTTTCCAGGCGATACTATATTGACGAGAAGGCTGGGTCTGAGGTGGTTGTCTCTTATGGAGTTTTGGGTTAGCCGCAGAAGACGGAGGCTTTGGGAGAGTCGACCTCCTAGACGAGCCTCGCCGAATTCTCCCGCCGAAGCAGGTCTACCATGTTGTCGGAGAGCCAGATGCCCACGCCTGCGAAATCTATGGGTCTTGCGTGGCCGCCTTAGTGCAAAGTCATTCGACACGGAGCCCCAAGGCCCCCCCCAGCATGCGCTGAATCGTGCACAGGATGGCTCAGTGTTCCTGCAGTTCATCATCAGGGATCACGTGCACCTCCCAGTGCCTTCTGACTTCGATCTCGAACCGTCAGACAGTGCTCCAGTCGCCTTAGGCGGGCCGCAAGATTGCGCACACCCCCTACCTGCGGCTTTTCCAGAGTTCGTTCAATATCGAGGCTAGGCCCCGTGTTAAGGCACAATTCTGTCAGAGCGAAGAGACTTCTCCGAGCGTAGGACACCAGTGGCCTGGTGGTAGCACATGTGGAGAGGCTGGGGAGCGTCGTGGTTAAGCTATGGTTCTGAGTACTGTACGGTCTGAAGCGGCCGTTAGCTTGGCCTTAGCCGAACCGGATCGTGCAGCCTTTCCAGGATTGGACACTGGAATCCAATGTCCAAGATGTGTTCAACCAAGGGGCATCGATGGCCTGCTGCTCAAGGTCATGCGATTCTGACGAAACATCATCGACGACATCGCATTGTGTCTTCGTCAGCTTTGACGGATTGCGCCATGCGCCCAGGCTGGTGAAGTTCCCAGACCTGACCTTGCCTGGCTTCCGTCTCAGCCACGGAAGCAGTGGCGACGAGCCCGCTGGTGAAATTTCGGTGAAATGGGAGTCCTGTCCAGTTCGCCGAGGTGCGTCAGCAGTCTTTCCGACTGCGGCCGACCGGTGGCCGGTGGCGAAACTGGTCACCATCATGGCCACCAGAGACGCCAGTCGCCTGTCTTCCGGCCTTGTCTCTCCTTCCGTCTGCGAAGTTGAGAAAACAGGGCCGGGATCCCGGAGCTTCCAGTTTTGTTGCCTTGAACTACCTGTAACCAAGCCCGAGGCTGCTGGTGATTTCCATGGTCTTTCTGGCAGTTGCTCTTGGAGCTCTCTACATCTTGTGAGATACTCAGGGAAAGGGGCTCGTGCGAATGTGGGGCTGAGCCTAGCGAGTCTCTCTGTCTCTGGAGGTTTCTGCGTGTTGGGGTTGCCCCGATGCAGAACACCTGTTTGGACTTCGAGAGTTCCTGCTGCCCGAAGCTAAAAGAACTCCGCGTAGGGATGAGTCTCGAGCCGGCAGTTCCAAGGCCCCCGAAGGAAAATGGCGGCGACATCAAGATTCCCGAAGTACACGGTCTGACGAAAGGTAAGATGTGGCTGTTGGTGTCACAGCTCCCACTTCATTGTTCCATCCCTTCGTCTTTTTGTTCAGGTGCCCGGAGCGACTGACGTCCGGGAATGTGTTTCACAACTAACTGGGTGAGCGAGCGTCGGATGCACGCGCTTCGATCAAAGACAGCTCAGCCACGTGCTTCTGGAAGGTCCCTAAGCCGAAGCCCGAAACCGAACCCTACAAAACCCTAAACCCGAACTTGGCCCTAAACCCTAATCCCTAAACCCTAAACCTTGAACCCTAACCCTAAGCCCTGAACCCTAAACCCTAAACCCTAAGTGCATCCCATGATGCTCCGCGTTTGCAGCGCTTGGCCCGAGCTGAAAGGCTTGGGAGCAAAGGATGGCGAGCGCGAGACCCGGGAAGGGAGCGTGAAAGCTAGGGGTTTAAGGTTTAGGGTTCAGGGTTTAGGGTCTAGGGTTTAGGTTTTAGGGTTTAGGGTTTAGGTTTTAGGGTTTAGGGTTTAGGGTTTAGGGAGGGGATCCGAAAGTCCCAAAACCCTCCCAAAGCCCTGCTAGTAGAAGCTCTAAACCTTATAAGCCCAAAGCCCGAAATCGTTCATCTCAAACCGAGCGGCGTGTTTTACAGTGCCATCGGTGAGGTCCATGGCACACATCCGGCCTCCGACGGGATGCTACGTATATGCGAAACATGGAGCACCTTCGCTGAGTTGTGGTTGAGGGTACTTGGAGGTTCATTGGTAGGGTTATAAGTAGGGTAACTATATTTATAAACCCATATTAGGGGACTTACAACCCCAGTTATAACTACCCATGAACCTTCAAGTGGGCTTTAGGGTAGTCATTGATTTGGGCCCAGCCGCTGGCTTGACAGGGAGATGTACACCAGCACCACCGCCATCGGAAAATGCCGGCTGGATACGGCCGCCCGGCCACCTTGAGCATCAGTGCTCGATCTTGTCCTTCAGCTCTGCGTCTCTGAGGTAGGGCATCTGAAGCCGTGCGACAACAGACATGTGCTTCTCTCAGAGGGCCGGGAAGCAGAAGCCATGCGAGACTGGGATCCGAAATGCCGGTCGGGTCCGGGTTTTGCGTGGCAGCCCCCTTGTTTGGGGTTTCCAGATCAAGGGCAAGAAAGAACTCAGCTGGTGTGGTAGAGCGTTCAGAACGGGATGGGCCCGATGGTGCGGCTGACTTTGCAGAGACGCTTCTGCCCATGGCTCTCTAACCGCACTCTAACCACGCTCTAAGGCTCCAATTCGTCTCTATCGGAGCTACGGCGAATGGTTTGAAGCTGGCCTCCAGGCATCGTGCAATCTGCAAGCGGCGCCCGATCGCGAACCTCGACTCCTGAGGCTCCCGTGCCCAATGTTACCATGATGACAACCTCGCTTCGCTCCCAGTTTCGAGCTGTGATGGAAGCACTTGAAACGGAGTTGGGCGAGCAATCTCGTGTCAACTGCATCATACGCATAGAAGAGTTGCAGTGAGGTCTAGATTTTGGCCTTATGGCCAAGATGTGACAAAGCTGCATGCGACAGCCGACAAGCGTGAGCAGTGCCCTGGAACAATTTCCATGACGATGCCGCTCACAACGATGTGCCAAAGGCCCCGTTCTCCTGAAACTGCGACAGGTACCAGCTCGACGACCGAACGGTCACCAGCATAAGGCATCGTTTGCATATGTAAGCTCCATCTTTTCATTCTGTCAATTATGTGTTGTTTACTCTGTGCGGAGTGCAGGCCCTACGTTCCCGCCAGGGACGGGTCGCTTCCAGATTTGCGGGCATACCGCGCAGGCAGGCGGATTGCAGTCGAAAGCTTCGCAGCAACGAGTGCGCTGTGGAGGTGGATCTCATGCGGCACATATCCCCAACCATCAAGTCGCCAGCCTAGAACTCTTTACTTGCACGGGGAGCTTTCTCACGGAGACTGCCAAGATATAATCTTGCTGCAGTCATTTCGATCCTTTCGGGCTACCGGTAAGAAGGACACCTTTTGTGCTGCCGGCTCGTCCTTGCTCGCCACTGTCTTCTGCAGTTTCGATCGACAGTTTTTGTTTGGCACAGCTGGCTGAATCGGCAGTTTCAATGCAATGAGCATTTGCGGGGGTTCTTGAGTACGGGTTCCCGAATTGAAGTGTGCCTCATGTTTTGCAACTCCCCCCCCGGCCCTGTCCAGAAGTGCTCTCAGATTCCAGATCGGCCGGAAAGAACACATGAATTGATCGTGAAGCCGTACTAAGTCGACTTGCATTGCTGGACAACTACGATTTTCGCTTTCGTATCTTGTGCTCCGCTTCTAGCAAACGGGTATGGATTTTCTGTGTAAGGTGCATGCTCATGCATCTTCCGACTTCTTCTTCTGTTCCTGCTCGCTGCCAGGAGCTGCCAGCATGCTGTGCAGGAGCCTGACCAGCCATAGGCTAGAGGGTTCTCTAACTTTTTGTTCACAGGTGTCTCAGCTCCTCTCGAAGAGAGGCTTCCAAATGTCTTCAGTCTATGCACAACTGCATGGGACTTGACAGGAGTGGTTCTAGTGACTCCAGTTCTTGAGGCAGCTACTCCGTGTGGGAATTCAAAAAGGAAGCAGCCGAGTCTTTCGCGAAGCGATCGCTTGAAGCACTCGACCTCAGCATTCACACAGTCCCCAGGACAATACTGTTGCCTGGCCAGGCTTCAGGGGGATGTGGGCCGTGTAGTTGCCATGAACAACTTTGCGGCGGATCACGTCTCCTGGCAGCCCGAATCTCGGTTTCGAACAGCTCTGAGACTCCGGAACGACTGCGTGTCTCGCCGAGGCAGCATCTCAATAGAGAGAAGCTGGCACGGAAGAAGGTCACACTGGCGCTTTTGCCTCAGTGGCTCCTTTGGCCGTTTGAGAAGGTGTAGGATGGTGTGGGATTGTGTAGGTCTGTGCGCGTGTCCACTGAGACTGGAGGTACTACGGCCGGAAGGGAGGCGCTGAGATTCTCGCGCCCAAAGTTCCTCCAGCCCCTACAGTGGAGGATGTCAGCAAGGCCCGAGCATGTAAGCAGGTCCTTCTGTGGCGACGCAGATGCCCGCGAGGTCATGTTCGACAGACTCTACCGGGCAGGTTCGCTGCCTGCTGGATGCCCAGCTGCTGCTACACGCGAATCAGAGGCCCTTGGTGACGGTAGGAGAAGTGTTCCGGGGCTGAGGCCTTGAGCGGGGCCAAAGCGCTTACGCCAGATGACGGCAACCTGCGGAGCTCAAGGCAGGTTTCTGCTGGCATAACGCAGACCTGCTCGCGGTCCATGAAGGCCTTGCAGTCGATCCCGGTATCCGAAGACTCCCCTGCAGTCTTCGGGCAACATGCTCTTGCTCGCGCCTCGTAGTTGCACATCTCTCTCAGTTATATACTATAATATTTCACAGTATATATCACAGTATATTATTCTATATTATGGTATAGTATAGTTTAGTAGATTATAGTATATCAAAGTATAGTAGAGTATATTACTACTATACTTTGATATACTATAATC